CAGCATACCAAAGGCACCGCTACTTGTCTGGTCTCAAAGATGACTTCCAAAGTGGTCTTTCTACTTACCATAACTCATACCATAGAGTCAGCAAACTTGCAGCTCTTGAGGTGATACCACCATATACTATATTCAATAGGGACAGTGTGGTATTGCAACCTCATCCTTCTTTCTCTAATTTTCATGTCAATGAACCAATAGTTCTTCCATCCTTTCATCCTAAGCCACATTCATCTTGACAGGATGCTATCTTTTGTACCCTGGACATATGTAGAATACTTTCATTTTACATAGACAGAATCTGATCTTTTCGCAGGTTGCAACAATTATTAGTTTCCATAGCAGTGCACTCCAAGGGAGATCTGATTTCATCTCAACGCACATCGAGGCTCATAGTATCTTACATTACCCAATGCTATGCCATTTGAAACAAGCCACTCCCTGGAGCACCCAGTGCACATTCCACAAGAGCCATAGCAATATCCAAAGCTTTCCTGTGGGGGGTTCCCCTCCGGGACATTTGCCGTGCAGCCACATGGTCCTCAAACCATACCTTCACGAAGCATTATGCTCTCTCTCAACACCTCACTAATGATACCTCAGTAGCCTCTGCAGTGCTATTGACAGCCATTAAATAGTGACTCAGAGATCTGCCTACCTTGTGTTCTTGAGTACTGCTACAAAGTCACCTACAGAGGAGCATCCACGGGGACATCACTGGAAGAAGAAGAGGAAGTTACTCACCTTGTGCAGTAATGACAGTTCTTCGAGATGTGTGTCCCCATGGTGCTGTACTACCCACTCCGTCCCCTCTTTTGGAGTTCCTGTTCTTTACATATTTTTAGATACTTGGGCTTACATGAGGAACTGGTGGGAACTAGGCTGTACGTGCGAAGAGAAAGGCACAAACAGCACAAGGCACCTGATGCACATGCACAGTCTGATCGGCTACTGCTAGGGAAAACTCCAATCTGTGATGCCGGAATGAAATCAATTCACATCAGAGTTGTTTCCCAAAATATTTGGTAAGTGTGTTTTGGTTTTTATTTGAAATGTATTTTGATAGATCAGTGTCAAAATAAATATTTAAAAGTCTCACATTTGGTAATTGTAATTTTTGGTTCATGTAGCGTTAGCAATTCTGTAAAATTGGGACTGAAGAACGTTGTTTAGCGGATGCTCAAATACTTATTTCAGCTTACGTTTTAAGACTTAGCCATTATTTATTGTGCCCTCTTTTGAGGGTTGAAAAATGTCATTCATCTAATAATATTTGCTTGCCTCTTGATAAATATATTTGCTGTCTTTCAAGAGTGAGTGGCAGGAACTCTTTGTTAGTGAGAGTTACAGCAAATCAATGGGTGTTTCTAAATGTTGTGAAAATTGAGTTTTTTATTTTGTGTACTTTACTTTCAGGTCAGTTTTTTCTGCATATGAATATCAAATAATAATACCTAAATACTATTAATCTAAGACTTTTTAAAAATTTGATTTGTTAGGAATGCCTACTTCATAGCTTTACCAATTAATGTTTTTAAGATGATCACTGTAACTGTAACCCACATTGACTGGCAGCAGTATTCAAGATAACACAGTATTCTATTCTTGCAGTATACCAAACTGATTATATTAATGCAACATCAATTCCCTGCCTTGTACTGTGTAGTATACTTTTTCTGAGCTGAATCACAGCTCTGAAGGTAGTGGCCAAAGGAGATACAAGTTTGCTTATCTGTCTGAGATTGAGGGTCCCTTTGCATGTTCATATTTTTCTGTTTTTGCATGCCATTTACTCCATTCTTTGCACCTTGACCAATCTTTGTGACTAGGAAGGGCTTACACATAAATTTTATGTCAGTGCCCTGCAAATTGGCAGATATCTGCTTTATCTGTGAATATCTGCAGACAATGTTTGCCTATCACAGATTGGATGCAGATACACATTTTTATATATGCACAGGGCTCAACATAGGCAGAACCAAAACATAACTTGGTAAAGTAAAAATTAACAAATTATAGTTACAAGTAGCTAATTATAGATTTAAGTATTCTTAAAGATATCTTAAGTGCAAAATGAGCTATAAAATTAATACATATTTTTGAAATAATAGAATCATAAAATACTAGATGACTTCTAGAGGTCATCAAGTACAATTCCTTTCCCTCAGAGCAGGACAAAGCACCATCTATATTACCCCTGATAGATGTCTATCCAATCTGCTCTTAAATATCTCCATTACTGGAGAAACCACAACTTCCCTAGACAATTAATTCCAGTGTTTAACCATCCTGGCAGTTAAAAGGTTTTTCCTAATGTCCAACCTCTAAACCTCCCTTGCAGCAATTTAAGCCTATTGTTTCATGTCCTATCATCAGAGGTCAAGGAGAATTTTTTTTTTCTCCTTCCTTCTTGTAACACCCTTTTAGATACCTGAAAACTGCTATCATGTCCTTCTCTCAGTCTTCTCATTTCTAAACTAAACAAGCCCAGTTCTTTCAGTCTTCCCTCATAGGTCATATTTTCTAGACCTTTAATAATTTTTGTTGCTCTTCTCTGGACCTTCTCAAATTTCTCCACATCTTCCTTGAAATGTGGTGCTCAGAACTTGACATAATATTCCAACTGAGGCCTAATCAGTGCAGAGTAGAGCCTAAGAATGACTTCTCTTGTCTTGCTCGCAACACTCCTGTTAATGCATCCCAGAATCATGTTTGCTTATTTTGCAACAGTGTCGCACTATTGACTCTCATTTAGCTTGTGATCCAGTATGACCTCTACATCCCTTTCTGAATTACTCTGTCCTAGACATTTGCTTCCCATTCTGTAAGTATGAAACTAATTGTTCATTCCTAAGTGGAGCACTTTTCATTTGTCCTTATTAAACTTCATCCTGTTTACATCAGACCATTTCTCCAGTTTGTCCAGATCCTTTGGAATCATGACCCTATCCTCCAAAGCATTTGCAACCCCTCCCACCTTGGTATCATTCTGAAACTCAATAAGCGTGCTGTCTGTGCCATTATCTAAATTATTGTTGATGATATTAAACAGAACCAGTCCCAAAACTGACCTCTGGAATCCCACTTGTTATGCCCTTCCAGCATGGCTATGAACCATTAAATAACTGCTCTCTGAGAACAGTTATCCAGCCAGTTATGCACCCATCTTATAGTAGCCTCATCTAGGTTGTATTTCCCTAGTTTATTGATAAGAAGGTCATGTAAGACTGTATCAGAATGCTTTACTGTTACTTTGACTGTGCTTTCATCAGAGATTTTTTTAAAATTTAACATAAAAACCCCTCACTCTTCCTCCTGGCCTTCCCCTCACCCACCTTAAAAAACTACAAAAATTTCCCCAACAAAAAATCCCACTAAATTGTAAGGAATGATTTCTGCAACCTACTGGAGGTCTATCATAATTCTGAATCCCATGACTCTTATAGATAGGCTCTATTAAAATATCGAGTTTATGCTGTAAACTCATTTTCAGCACTCTCTTCCCTCTAAGAGGTGTTTCATGGGAGTACCTTTGAAAGTGAAGGTCTAAATTCTGTTTCTGTCCTGGTATAAACCTGTCATAATGCCACTTCAAGCAGTGTATTCACACTTCTGGTCCAGAGAGCCCAAAGCATTAGTGATTCAAGTTGACTCCTATGAAATTATTGTGGCTGAAGGTGTCACAGAAGCAGTACACACAGAATCAAATTGACTACTGACATGTATATGGGTTCAATTTCATGAAGCTGCCAATAATGAACATGGTTCTATTTATTTATGGCCTCCTAATTCTGACTGGTAGGTTAACAAAACATCTGTTCCCATACTCCCACTGCTTATAGTGTATAACACAGGAGTCCCTCCTCTAGGCTGGCAGGTCATCAGTCCTGGAATTAATTTTTTATACTTAAGTGATGTTAAATGACAATTCTCAGAGGTCATGTGGGTTTTGTAAAACCATTGTTTTCTTGCAGAAAGATGCTAAACCTTAATACTATGCAAATTATTAATTGACTAGTTTTGTTCCACAGTTACAAATGGAGGATCTTTTTCTTATCTTTGTGCCAGTGTATCCATTCTTGAGTATTCGTCTAGACATTTTGAAATGATTTAGGTGTCTCTTTTATTTCAGTAAAGTATTTTAGAGGTGCAAACTGTATTATCTAAACCAGAATTCTCTGGTCCGGCAACATCTGTGGACTGGCAGGACCACGGATGTTCCAGGATCAGAGAGTCCTAGTGCACTGCAGGATAATAGGGGCTGGGAGCCCAGCATGATGCGGGGGTGGCAGAAGTTCTTGTACATGTCCCAGCTGGGTTGTGGGAATGCCAGTGCACAGCCCAGCTGGGCTGTGGGGAAGTAGGAAGCCTAGTGTGTGCACGATCCAGCTGAACTGTGGGCTGGGGCGGCAGGGAAGGGGGGAGCTGGGAAGGCCGGCACATGGCCCCGCTGGGCTGGAGGGTGGAAATTTAAAGGGAGGGAGCAGGAAGCCCGATGTGTGACCCAGCTTAGCTGTTGGGGGAGCCAGGAAGACTGATGGAGCAGCAGAGCAGGAGGAGGAGCCAGCAGCAGGGGGTACAGATACAACCTCCCTTAATCCTGAAAAATCCCTATCTGAGAACAGTCAGGTCCCAAGGGTGCTGGACTAGCAAGGTCCAACCTATAGCATAGTGTAAGGAATATATTAGGACATCTTCCATTGTTTTCTTTATATGTATACGAGTGTAAATTGTCTGTGATATGTGGAATTTAATGTTGATGATGGTTTATTATGATCCATGGGAGTTACATGATTAAATCTCAAGATACTGCACTGAAAAATTTCCAACTGTACGTATCAACTGGATGTCAAGTATTTTACATGTTTTACAATAAAATCATGTAGTGAGCCACTTTGCTCAGTCTAATGATCAGTGAATGAACACTTTCAAATTTATTGCCCAGAAGGATGCATTATGTTTTTCCTTCATGCTAATTATTGACTACATTTCATTTTCAGGGACATTAAACCAGACAACATCTTGATGGATATGAATGGACATATTCGGTTAGCAGATTTTGGTTCTTGTCTGAAACTGATGGAAGATGGAACGGTAAATTAGAAAGATTGATGCAGCTGTGATATCCCCTCAACCACCTTTCATTTCTCTCCTCTATTTGCCAGCAAAATTTCTGTTCACAAAGAAGTCCCTTTATGAAGGAAATGTGCACTTAAAAATGATATTTTTATAAATGATAGTGATAGCATTTTACTATTTCACAGTATGGTTGCATGTTTCAGTTCAAAATATATCTGCATTCTATTAGAATACTGTCTTGATTAAAATGCATTTTTATTTAATTTCATAAATAAAAGTTAAGGGAGGACATATAATCAAAATTAATACATAGCTGTTGGAAAGGTGTAAAGTACCCAGTTTTGAGCCTCATGCTGTAATCATGTTTCAGGCAAAGCAATCTTTGATTTCATGGAACTCAGATCAGGCCTTTGGTAAAAGCATAATGAGGTACCAGTAATATCACCCCATCCCTAGATGGATAAGAATCAATTTTTTTAAATCAAAAAATTTGATTTTTTTATTTAAATTGGATATTTTTTATTTTTTAAATAATCAATAAAATACGAAATTTGTCATTTAAAAATAAGTTGCAATTAAATCTCATCACAAACATGCTACACATATACTTAACACTCTCATAAAAATGAATTAATGGTTCAGCCTAACTACTAGTTCTTGCTTCTTGAAAATTCTGGGCTTTCAATTTCTGTTCCTCAGCAGACTAAAAAGAACCATATGCAAAGAAAGCGACAAACTGGATAGGATTGTTTTTGTTCTGTACTTGTGTGATGGTGGACCTTGGCCAAACACAACAGTGTTAGTTAAGACATTGTCTTAAGACAGAGAGACAATATATAGGAAAAGAAGCAAGCAGCATAGAAAGGAACAGTGGAGTGGACTGGAAAGAAAAAGGAAAGGTTGTATTCAGTGCATATGTATAGCTTTCTATATTCTCCCACACTTTTGCCACAGAAAAACTGTCATGGCTTCTGGGCTTAAGAGAGAATCTATCTGAGAATATTCTGAAGATATTCGTTTCCTGGGTAAAAAAAGAAAATGCGGCAAGTGTAAGCAGTGCAAGAAGCAGCTGCAGGACCTGCTTGTTAGGAGAGAAGTATGTGGATGAAGATGTGGTTATGTCTGAGAGGATCGACTGAATGCTAACTTAAATAATTCACTTGCTATGCATCATTCTTCAGTGCTCTATGCCTTTTAGTATAAATGTGATTTGATAGGTAAATTCCTATTCTGTGTGCTACATTTGATGTTGCTAGAAAAAAAAGTTTAGTTTAGCTAATCCTTGATTAGGTTGGCAATCTATCACTCAATCATACAGTACAAAAAGCTGCAGTAAGAGAAATTGAGAGTTACCAGTTAGCACTCTCATTTTCTTATTTTATATTACATAATACATGCCCCTTATTTGGAATATTATGGCCACAGACCGTAATGGTAATGCCATAAGTCTATTCCCTATTTTACTTCAGCATAACTCAGCTTTTTCAAGGGAAGTTCATTCTATATTTGTTTTTTCAAAAAACAGAAGTATCGGTGAGTTCACTGGCATTTACTCAAAAAATGGAGGGCAATCTAAGCACAATCAGTTTTAGCTTTTGGGTAATGTGATTTAAATCAATTATTTTTTTTTTGTGATTGGAATAGTCTTGATTTAAATCAATCCATCCTGCTTCATCCTATCATACTGCTGTGTTGAAATGTATACAATGTATGGTGTCTGTGACAAGAAGGTAGTACCAGCGTAACGATTGTGTCTTGGAGTATTACAAAGCAGTTAATAAATGTACATGATTATCAGGGAGATAATTATTTTACAATAACTGCACGCTCAGAACCTGCCTTCATTTGGCATTCATCACAGTTCAGAGCAAAAGTAAATTATTATAATACCCCGTACGTTTTTTCAAAACTTCAGGTTTGAAACACTGAAGTGGCTCAGATACAACAGAACATTTTTTCTCATGAATTGTTATTTAGAAACTGCCTTTTTGTATTAGAGTTCACTGTTTATAATTTGAATTATAAACTTACACATGCACATTGTACTACTCAACCTCTTCACCCTCTCCCCCGCTTCACACCGCGCGCGCCCCCCTCCCCCAGCGCAAACACTGTCTGTAACAGTATATGCCATTTTTACTCATGGAAATGCTAACTCCCTAGGTCCAGTCTTCAGTGGCAGTTGGAACGCCAGATTACATCTCTCCAGAAATCTTGCAGGCCATGGAAGATGGAAAAGGGAAGTATGGACCTGAATGTGACTGGTGGTCCCTAGGGGTTTGCATGTATGAAATGCTTTATGGAGAGACACCCTTTTATGCAGAATCCTTGGTGGAGACCTACGGGAAAATAATGAACCACAAAGTTAGTGTTTTTTCTATCCTCTGTTAACTAATTTTAGTGAGTAAGAAGGGTTGGCTTAGAGGTCAGTTTGTAAAGAAAGCTCTTAGATAATGATCATATTCATGTTCATAAATCTTAACTAGAACTTTTGTTTCCATACAGTACATTTTGTGGTTATGAATTGCAACTGGCTTTGCTTTTGAGTAAGATAATCTACTACTAAAAATCTGGATATACAGTGATGTCTATTAGTACTCTCCAAGAAATAAGTCTTGGCTATGCTACATCACTTTTCTTCTTTTTTTTGCTGGTGGATCCATTTGTTGGCTTACAGAAGAGATCCTTAAATATTCTTCCACTTGGAGGGAAACATAGAATCCAAAAATGTACGAGACATTTAAATTAATAACAAAGAAGAGACAGTTATAGGATTTGAAATACTTTCAGTCATCTGGGGAAGACTTCTTTCCTTTAAACTTATTGCATTCATTTAACAGTGAGAGCCTAAATATTTGCAAAGCCTTGTTTTTCTATACAGAAACAATCATGAAGGAACTGACTTTTGTGACATTTTCTTGGTAGTAAACTATTTCCCCGTTTTATTCTTTAAGGAAAGATTTCAGTTTCCTGCACAAGTGACAGATGTTTCTGAAAATGCTAAGGACCTCATTCGAAGGCTCATTTGCAGCAGGGAGCATCGCCTTGGGCAAAACGGGATAGAAGACTTTAAGAACCACCCATTTTTTGCTGGGATTGAATGGGATAACATTCGTAACTGTGAAGCACCTTATATCCCTGAAGTCAGCAGTCCAACTGATACATCAAACTTTGATGTAGATGATGATTGTTTAAAAAACTCTGTAAGTCTAAGATTCAGGATTTGGAAAAATGCCGTTTTCTTCATTTTTATTATTTCAGAGATTCCAAAATGTGGCACTTAAAGCATTCTAAAATTTGGTACTGTATGATGATACCCACTGATGCTATGTTGATAGAAATTCCCATGCAAGGAATGAGGTTTGATCTTGGAAACACTTAAGAACATGAATAAATGTAATAAAGCTGTATAGAAGTCAGTCTGGGTAATTTTCAAAGAAAGGTACACACATACTTCAATATTTCCAGCATGAAACATGGGCATGTTAGGCTATGTTTAACTGCATTGTAAACACCTACAACTATCCCGTATCAGCTGACTTGGGCTTGGTGGGCATGGGCTGCAGAACCGTGAGGTTGCAGTATACTGTGGAGGGTCATGCTCAAGCTTAGAGCTAGGGTTGCCAGGCATCCGGTTTTCAATTGGTATGCCTGATTGCAAAGGGATCCTGGTGGCTTAAAAGTTAATTCAGCCTTTGTCAAGGCTAAATCCCCACTCTGACATGATAAATGCAGAAGTGGGGGCCCACAAAAGTACCCCAAAACCTTATCTTTCCAAGCTTTGATATAAAGCTTCCTTCCCCCTGTCCCCCAGAACCTTAAAAACCTAGATTTTGGGGATAAAAATCCACTGCCACCACCCAAGTAATGGTAAGAAAACTCAGCCCTAAAGTAAAACCAGGACATACAAAAATTAACCAATACCAGGTTAATAAAAAAGAAAGAACTTTTATTATCACCACAATACTTCTGTTACAAGCATAATGACTAGATGGAAAAGTCATCAATTAATATACTCATGGGGGACCCCCATGAGCCAAAAGCTTAGTTACAAAGGAAAGGAAACCCCATTTTTAAATGCACAGACATCAGATTCCCATTCCCAAACCATAAAACAATAAAACTTTACCCTACTTACAGATAGTGAAGAGTCTTTTCTTAGAGAGAGCCATGATGTCTGTCCCCCTCAGTACCTGGAGAGAAACTGCCCAGAGACGAAGGAAAAAACAAAAATTTCTTCGTCCCAGTTTGAAATTCCTACCTGCATTTCAATTGGCTGCCGGCTACCTGGTTAGGTACAGTTAACCCCTTAGTCCCCAGGCTAAGTCGTCATGACAGCCTTAAAAGTCCATTCAGCAGCACAGCAGGGGCCCAGAGCTAAGGCAAGCTTCCTATCTGCCCTAACTCTGCATGGCTCCTGCAAATGGCTGTAAGGTCCCTGCGGCCTCTAGGGAGTCTGTGTGCTGCCCCTGCCCTGAGTGCCAGCTCCACAGCTCCTATTGTCTGTGAACTGTGACCTGCCCCAGCCTGGTGAAAGTGAGCAAGAGCAGGGGAGAGTGAATGGGGCAGTGGATGGGAACAGATGTTTGGTGACCGTAGCTCCACTGGGGTTTTGGAGCATTAGCTTCAGCCTGAGCCTGAATGTCTATACAGCAGTTTTATAGCCCCATAGTCTGAATCCTGTGAGCCTAAATCAGCTGACATGGATCAGCATGAGTGTTTAAGTGTAGAGTAGATATGCCCCTAGAGCCTGGAATAATGAAGAATAATAATATCCAAATAACTTTAATAATCTATAACTGTGGATTATAGCCCTCTGCTCATTATTGCTCACAACTGCCAATTTTTAATCATTATAACTTGAAATTTTCCAGTCCTGATCTCTGCCTGGATTTGAATTTTTTGAAAGTTTTGAGTGAAAATTATTCAGCTATTTTCAAGGAGAAGCTAATGAAAAATAAGTAGTTTAACCATGCTTAAAAAATGTCTAGTCACTTACTGAATAATTTTAGCAATCCCGTGGTCTTGAACAGGAACTTTGAAATTTGGTAGGGGCTGTAGATAGTCTTAGTACCAGAGAGGTACTTTTGTTGTCCCTGTGAAAATGTCCCCAAATATAAGCCAAAAATGTCTGCTCTTTGCACATGTGCTGCAGTAATGCTTGTTCGGCATCTGCTTCTGAGTTTTCTGAACATTCCATCTGCAGTGTATATGCTTCTGGGCTCCATTGAGTTGTTCTTTTGCAGTTAAACTGATGTAAAACTCCAGGTAGGATGTAAAAAAAATTAATTACTGCTTCTTCTGTTTTCCCCCATCAAAATACCCTTTGTCATAAAGCCCTTACTACTGCAGCTCAAGTAGTAGAGATTTCTGCTATATAGCTGAAACTCTTAAATCAGAAGTGGGCAATAAGCGACCTGTGGGCCGAATGCAGTTCACCGGGCTTAGCCCCTGGTAGGCCGCTGGACGCTTTATTTAACTGCACATCCACAGGTATGGCTGCTCATAGCTCCTGTTGGTCGTGTTTGCTGCTCTCAGCCAATGGGAGTTGTGGGAAGCATTAGCCTGGCCCGCATTGCTTCCTGCAAGTTCCCAGTGACCAAAAATGGCCAGTTGCTTTCCACCTCTACATTTGTTCATTTTTTCCTAAAATTTAGCCCTTTCTTGCAATTTCAGGCCCTTTTAGAGCTTTCAAGATGTTCTTTCTCTTTCAAGTGAGTTTTTCTGGTGAGCAAGGTCATGTAATAGAATGTAAATACATAAGAAAAGCTGGGAGGTAATCAGGAATGTAAAGGTATGAATCTTGCATTGGTATTGAAGAGGATATTAAAACATTTGGAGTACATACCTCTCTCCATCCCCATAGTAATTGCATCTGCATGGCCTATGTGGACAGCCACTAACATAGTTGCTGCTGCTCAGGGACATGGAATAATTATTCTGATAGGTGAGCGAGCTCCCTTTGCATAGCGTGTCTGCACAAGCAAACACTACAGCAACACAGCTACATCTGTACAGTCTAGTGTAGACTAGCACATGGATGATCAGCATTAAAGGCTTGAGCTTGTTCTTTTTGTTCCTGCACTAGCAGGAAGTAGGAACATTTTAAAGGAAGCATGCTCTGTCCATTGATGGAGTTTGAGCATGCTATTGTGTCATTCTTTCCAGCAACCACTCTCACATTCCCTCTAGGAGAATTGCTAGGCTATCTCAAGAGTTGGATTGATAGACTGCAGAAAGGGATAATAAGTTGACTCAAGAGGTAGTGAAAGTAAAGGGAAGAATAAAAGATGCTGCTCTGTACTCTGACATCTTGAAAGATCCTGGGGGAGAAGGAGAAAAAAAAAGATCCAGCTTTTAATTTCTATTTGAAAAAAGTCCTCTTCCTGTGAACTATTTGTATATTTTTAAATTCAAAGCCAAGTTTATATCTGTGGTTTCATATTTAGCCTTCAGGTAAAAATCATCATGGATCTGGTTAGTGAAATAACAGCAGTAGCATTTGATGAGTGATTACAAGCTAGTAATGTCTTTCCAAATTGGTAGAATTCAGGTTACCCAGATGTTCTTTTATTTCCTAGGAGACAATGCCTCCACCAACACACACTGCATTTTCTGGTCATCATCTGCCATTTGTGGGTTTTACATATACAAGTAGCTGGTAAGTCAGAGTCCTTCAATTTTCAAAGTATTGTAAATACATGAATGTGCTAAATTTCTGATCTGTTACATGCTTCAAGTTCATATGAACCTGTAAAATAGAGTGAAGAAACAACTCCACCTAACTGATGAGGAATATGGTTTTATTAAGGAGATTATTACGTGCTTAGTAGTTGCATAGGATATATCCTTAAAATCATATCCTGCCCCAAAGAGTCTAAGGTTTGATCTACATCTAAAAGTTACCTTCACTTAGCTCCACTGCTCAGAAGTATGAAATATGTACCAAAAAACCAAGACCCTGACTCTGCCAAACAAATATGCTTAATGTTACTCATGTGACACTTTCCATTGTCTTCAGATAAACTACTCCCCTAAATAAAATTACACATGTGGGTAAGTGCTTGCATAATCTGGATCCTGTTGCTTTCATTATATAGTTACATACCTGTCTTCATGAGAAGGACCGGAAATGTCTCCATTTTAATTTCTGAAATTTCTTAAATGTTGTTTTTTCAAATAGGGTTGTTAAATGTTGATTGATTAGCAAATGGAGTAGTCAATGGAATTTCCACCAACTGCTTGATTAGTCAATAAGGAGGGGAGGCACAGCGGGGAATCCAGTGCAAGCGGGAACTGCTTCAGTTGCCCCTTGTGCTGAGTCCCAACTGCTGCGCTCTGCCTTTTAAATGTAGTAAGAGATGCATGGCTCTTGTTACATTTAAAATGTAGAGCCGCTGCACCTCTGCCTCCTAGCTCCCCGCTACCCACTGAACCAGTGCTGGGGGAAACCAGTTTATAAGCTAGTTCCCCCCCCTCTCGCCCCAGCACGGGCTCCTGCTCCTCCCCTCTTGCTGCCTCTTAATACAGAGGCAGCAAGGGCGGAAGAGAATACGATTAGTCAACTCAACTACCCGATAAACCTAGGTTTATCCAGTAGTCAACTATTCAACTACTCTTTTACATCCCTGTCTTCCATCAAACATTATAGAGGGGAGTTTGTTAGCAATCTGGGGGAAATTAATTACAGAGGAGACAACCAAAGTACACTAATTTTCATCTAATAATACTTAAAATGGATACTGTGGCTCCTCGAAGCACTTTGCAAGCATGCTAATAATTAATATGAGCTAATACAGTAATATAATTTTAGATCTTGATATTATTGCCTGTTGAAAATAACTTTTTTGATTGATTCCAGATTATGCTTATTGCTTATCATGAATCAGAATTTTTTTACTTGTAACATTAAAAGATGCATTCACGAGATAACTAATGCTGTTTTCCTACTTAAGCTGTTACAGTGATTAGATTTATATTTTTACTTGGTTGGAAAAATTTAAAAAATAATTTATTCTTCTGGGTCAATGCTTTCATTATATTTTTCCTCTTAAAATTAACTAATGTTTAAAATACTTTTTTTAAGTGTGCTTTCGGATCGCAGTTGTTTAAGGGATACAACTGGGCCAACTTCTATGGAACTTGATGCCAGTGTACAAAGGACTTTGGAGGATAGCTTAGCAACAGAAGCTTATGAGAGGAGAATAAGGCGCCTAGAGCAGGAAAAACTTGAACTCAGTAGAAAACTGCAAGGTAAAGCTATTAAAAAGACTCTCTTGACACTTTCTGTTGGATTCAACTATAATTTTTCTGAAGTCCTTTTAATATAATGGGTGGGGGTACAAATATGTTTCCTGGAATGCTTCCCACTGGAAATTAATCTGCTTCCTTATTTCTGTTGATAAATAACATTTTAATTTTTTAAATTCCTAAAGCATGCCATATTTGCTACTTACAATTTGTTAAATTCGCTGAAGCCATGGGTTAGTTATTACTCCATGGTTGTGTCTACACTGGCATGAATTTCCGGAACTGCTTAAAACGGAATACTATTCCGTTTTCAGTTTTTCCGGAAAAGGAGCGTCTACATTGGCAGGCTGCTTTTCCGGAAAAGCCCTTTTTCCGGAAAAGCGTCTGTGGCCAATGTAGATTCGCTTTTCCGGAAAAGAGCCCCGATCGCCATTTTCGCGATCGGGGCTTTTTTCCAGAAAAGACTACTGGGCTGTCTACACTGGCCCTTTTCCGGAACAGTGTTCCGGAATAAGGACTTATGCCCGAGCGGGAGCAGAATAGTTTTTCTGGAATAGCGGCTGATTTCGTTGCTTTTCTGGAAATTCAAGGGCCAGTGTAGACAGCTCGCAGTTTATTCCGGAAAAGCGGCTGATTTTCCGGAGTAAGTGGCCCAGTGTAGACACAGCCCATGTGTGAACACTACATACTTACAATCCGGGGGAAATATCTAGGTTTATGTGTTTGGTACCGACTGAAGATGTGTTGGCACCTTGCAAGTGGGAATTGTGTGATTTAAAGTCCTCATCCTACAAAAACATTGGCATGTTCTTAACTTTATGTATGCAAGTAATTCCGTGGATGCCAATGGGGATATTCACATGAGTAAGTCTTCACATCACTGAGCCATAGTCCATTTACATAAAGGCAAAGAAAGCCATAATACAGAAATTAGCATACAACCTCACAAAACATGGCTCTTCTTTGAGTGTGAGGTGCAGGTGCCATTCAGATGTATGGATTGTTTGGATTTTCTGAAGCATCCCTTGTTGGTTTATTTTGTTCTCATTTCTTGGTTTTGTGAACAAACACGTTATTGTAAGCACAATTTAGGCATCAGTGTTTGAAAGCTTAACCAATATGTTATATATACATCAGCATATGCTCTTTTCATAGATTTATAGCGTTTATAGCCAGAATAACTAGATCATCTAATCTGATAGGCTATTAATTTTCACCCAGTTACCCCTTTATTGACTCTAACAACTTGTGTTTGACTAAGCATAGCTTGTTTCGCTAACATATACTTTCCAGAAAGGCATCCAGTCTTGATTTGAAAACATCAAAAGATGAAGAATCTATCTCTTCCCTGAGTAGTTTGATCCAGTGGTTAATCACTCTCACTGTTGGTAGTAGCACTTGATTTCTAATTTGAGTTTGTCTGGCTTTAGTTTCCAGCTATTGATTCTTGTGATGCCTTTCTTTGCTATATTAAAGAGCCATTTAGTACCTGGTATTTTCTTCCCATGAATATATTTATATATTCAAATCACCTCTTCATCTTTTTTTCTAATAAACTAAAATGCTTGAGCTTTTGAAGTCACCCTAGTTTGAACTAGGGTGGCTAATGTAGGCATCGAAGTTGCAAATGAAGCCCGGGATTTAAATATCCCGGGCTTCATTTGCATCTTGCCGGGCGCCGCCATTTCCACGAGGAGTTCCACGAGGAGTAATTCGAACTACCTACTTTGTGCCGCGTGTAGCCGCGGGCATGGAGTCCCACTAGGGGGATTTTAAAATGGCGGCGCCTGGCAAGATACAAATGAAACCCGGGATATTTAAATCCCGGGCTTCATTTGCAACTTCGATGCCTACATTAGCCACCCTAGTTCAAACTAGGGTGGCAGCGTAGACATACCCTCACTGTAACACATTTTCTCCAGCCCTCATTTTGGTGGCTCTTTTCTATACCTTTTTCAGTTTTTTCAATATATTTTTTTTAAATTTGAACAAACCAATATCAATCTCATAAAGCAATACACCAAAGAGGTAAAAATAACCTCTATGTTCTTTTTAACAGCTCTCCTCTTTATCCGTCAAATAACTTTTTAGTTCCTTTTGTCTCACTGTTCTAGAGTTAGTGTTCAGTTGCTTGTCCACAATGGCCAGAGATCACTTTGGACTACTCTTAGGACTCTTGAATCCAAGTTATTCAGATATTCTGAGCCTGGATGACCTGACCACCTTATGCAGCAATAGATACAAAAGGGTATCTAATTATCATCACCTGCACCCAGAATACTTTGTTCCATTTCTCCACAGGTTGTATTTGCTTCCACAGTAAGTCATAGAATCATAGAACACTAGAACTGGAAGGGACCTCGAGAGATCATCAAGTCCAGTCCCATGCCTTCATGGCAGGACCAAGCACGGTCTATATCATCCTTGTCTATTTAACCCGCTCTTAAATATCTCCAGTGAAGTCCATGTTTTCCTGTGGAGGCAAGGCCCGGCCAGTGCCCAGCTCCTTAGTTTTAAGAGCATGGAGATACATGGAGCATATATGAAATACGATTCTTTTTTGTTTGTTTGTTTTTAAAGACACACCTAGCTATAGCTCCTAGTCTTCCAGAACACTGCCTCATCTTTCTCTCTTTTCTTTGGAATTCGAGCTAACTTATCTAGGCCCACTCTCTTTCCACTCCAGGTGTCTTTCGAGGACTACTAATGAGAGCCGGCTGCTTAAGTATTTTGTTTTTGTTTTCCTCTCCGCCCTCTCCCCCTATGTGACAGTTCACTCTTTCACACATTATTAGATATTGTGTGACCTGCTTCTCTATCACTGATGGACTGGATAATACTTCATCATCCCCATTTGAAAAACTGCATCATTTTGTTTCTTTCTTTTATGGCATAAAAATATTAATTGAACATTTCTGCTGCCTTTTCTGCATGATTAACACTACGATCTTTCTCAAGTACCATCTTTTTTGTTTTTAATATGTATCTTTTAAAACTGCTTGACCACTGCACATGGACTTCTCCACTGTTAGCTTTCCTTGTCAATTATCCGACTATCATAACTTTTAATTTGTATCAAATGTTACCTATTTTTCAAGTTATTTTTCAAGTTATTATATATATATTTTATTTCTAATGTCTGTCTTACCTGGAACTCCAACCACATGGACTTTTAGCTGAAGATACTTGATTGTGTAATCATGGGTTTTTAGCCATTTAATAAACTCTGCTTTAAAAAGCTTTTTTGTCTAAATGTTTCCTCAGAATCAGTTTCACTCATAATTTTCCTTTGCTTTGAGAAATTACCCCTTTTGAAGCACCAAGTATATGTATTACTGGTTAAAATGGTCTTCTGTTTGCCAATATTGAATGTAATCATTCATCATCACTGATTCCTATAGGCTATCATCAGCTTTTTGATCTAGTGATTAATTAATCTTTATCAATCATAATGACATCCAAAATAGTGATCCCTCACGGTAGAAAAATATTTTGTGTTAGAAAATTATCTATACATTTTATGAAAGTCAAATGATCTTTTACTACTGGCTACATGAGACCTTCTGCATACATTCACCAAATTGAAGTGCCTTGTAACAACAGTTTTTCTTTCCACACATTACAGACAGGTGTTTATGGAGTAACTCATTCTGATCTCTAGTTTGATTTGATGGTCCGCTAGTTAACACATTGATCCATATGCATTAAAGATCCTGTGCTTCTGATTTACCAATTACTTATAATAGTTCCTTTAGAATGCTACTCCTCCACCTCTTTACCTGTACTGTATTTCCTGAACTGATTATAATCAGTGCTTTTTACATTCCAGTTATAGCAACTGGAGTCCATAAGGTCAAGTATATCAGATTTCTTCTCATCAGTATACATTTTCAGTTCCTCTTGTTTTTTTCCAGCCTCTTTCTATTGAAATAGAGACAATTTTGTACACTTGTCAATTATCAAATGTCACTTTCTTCTGATATCTTACAGTATATATTGAGGGAGTGCAGGAGGAATCTCTCATGGTTCTCTTTTTTGTATTTAGAATCTACGCAGACAGTCCAGGCTTTACAGTATTCAACTGTGGATGGCCCGATAACAGCAAGCAAAGATCTAGAAATTAAAAGCCTAAAAGAAGAAATTGAGAAGTTAAGAAAACAGGTAACTGGTAAGTCCCAAGTATTTGCATACAATCTTTCAATGGAAAAGATGAACTTACAAAGTGATCCCTAATAAGGGGGAAAAAAGACCGTTATTGAGAAAAACACGCCTTTTCAGAATAATGCTGATTTCATAAGAGCTTGATAGCATTTACTTTGTGGTGTCCCATCTTAAATTTACCATTCAGTATTAACTACTGAAAAAATGTTTTCCTTCTCATTCTTTTACGTGTTCATGTCTATCATTTTTTTAATTATTTAACATTGAGGATGCCCATTTTGCACCACGGTAACTTCTTTGATTTAAATTAAGTTATTCCTAATTTACACTGATTTATTAATCAGGCCCCAAAAGAGTAGCCATAAAACCTTTACTCTAATTTGCATTGCTATAATTTTTTTCTAACAATATTCTCAGGGCAGATTAAGTCTTTCACTTGCCTTAATTGTTGTGGAAGTACAACAGCAACTTTTGCAAAGTCACAGGAATATATGTTTGCACAATAGCCCTTCTTGCTGTCCCATCCCTTGCTGCATTACTGTATTTAGGCAATAAAGTGAAGCAGGTAAGTATTACTTTCATGTTCTTGCTAATGTTTGTAAACCCAAGAAGAGTGATTGTTATGGCCTGCCAGCCTTAGCATATTTTAAAGGTAAGCATCATTTACATCACTTCATCCTTCCCACTGAGTAATCTGGTGCCAATGGTGTGTGCAGTAAAGTCTTGAGTGAGTTTTATTGCTGTTTGATATTTCAAGCATAATGGGCTGTGATCATAATTCTGATTATAATCATACTTACATGCTTTAAAATATGTTTAAAATCAACACTGGAGCAGACAGTGTGCATTCTCATCATTTTCTTTATCATTTTAAAGTGCATTCAGCAGTTTGAATACAGTAGTGGAAAGATAAGATTTTGTTTTATCTGAAATATGCTAATACGTAGATATTTTTTCTGAAATCTTAAGTCTGCAGAAAGGATTTTTCTGGCCAAAACAAGTGGAGACAAATGAATCCAATAACTATGACAATTGAGCCTTGTATGGGGCGGGGAAATGTTAAAATTTCATATTACCTGTGTAAAACAAATATCCAGGTTTTAGGGATTGAGCACACATTTATGAATAGTGCTCTGTTGTATAGAAAATGCCATTTGTTCCAATAGATGAGCCTGAGCTGAACTCTAGAATTCATACCCATCTGTAAAGGCAGGGCTTTGAGATTGAGATCATGTGTCTGATAAATGGAATCACTTGATAATTTATTGGCAGTGACAATGAGATATGTCTCTATCTAAACTGCAAAACATAAAAAAATGCACATCACGTGATTGCTTTGAAACAGGTAATACAGATCTAGAAATCACTATATATTTTGGATCTTCCTGTTTTGGTAGTAAGGAGGTGGCTTTGGATAAACCTTCAACATCCTGAAGTTTACAGTTTGAGACATATCAAGTTGTTTGGCCTAAATTTTGTCTGATCTCTGAAATGGGATAGCATGTAGGGATTATTCACTGGATCCTAATTTTTCTAGCATGTCTGCAGATCTGTCAAAATCACTAAATTATATCATCTAATTTATTTAATCTTCATTTGACTTTATAAATGTATGTTAAGAAATGCAGAGCTCTGTATTTTGTTGCTGACACCTGTGAGTGTGGTGTGCAAAGAAAAAGGAATTATGCTGGCTTTGTCTTAATTAGAATGGAGGTAAAAACTTCTACTAACATTTACTATATCTCCAAAGACTATTGGTCAAACAGCCACTTGTAAAAGTAGCCATTGAAAGGGTGGAATGAGCAGAAAATCCTCTCAACTGTCCCAAAAACTGCTAGATGAAAGAGGATTGTACTTATGTGTGTGTCTAGATTTCCAGCTGGGAGTGTGATTCAGGGATTCAAGTGATGTTCAAGGAGACATTCCCATGCTAGCTTTCATTGAACTGATGCACTAAGAATAGAATGTAGCTGAGACTCAGGGTATGTCTAGACTACATGCCCCTGGCGACAGAGGCATGTAGATTAGACTACCCGGCATAGGAAAATGAAGCAGCGATTTAAATAATCGCCGCTTCATTTAAATTTACATGGCTGCCGCACTGAGCCGATCAGCTGTTTGTCGGCTCAGCGCGGTAGTCTGGACGTTCCGAGGTCGACATCAAAGGCATTTTTTGACCTCCCAGGTATGCCTCATCCCAGGAATGTCCAGAATGTCCAGACTACCGCGCTGAGCCGACAAACAGCTGATCGGCTCAGTGCGGCAGCCATGTAAATTTAAATGAAGCAGCGATTATTTAAATCGCTGCTTCATTTTCCTATGCCGGGTAGTCTAATCTACATGCCTCTGTCGCCAGGGGCATGTAGTCTAGACGTACCCTCACTGCTGTGGGGATTTTTTGCAGTGTAGACATACCTTAGGGCTCTCACTTAGGAAGCAGAAGGTGTAGCTGCCAGATTCAGAAGAGAGATTTAATTCCACATATCCTACCTTCCAGCTGTGTGTGTTAACCACCAAGCTATAGAGTCATTCTTATTTTTTCACCTGTTGGCCCAGTGAATATTTATATAGTTATACAGATTAAACCTCTCTAGTGTCGAGTATGATTTTATTTAGAGGGATGTCCACTTTTTGTGGGTGTGGCCTAGTTTCCCGCAGCCCCATAAAGTTTGTTTACAGCCACCACTTCTAGTTTTCAGTGTTCTGTACTGTTATTTAGCTCCAAATTACCCCTTGAATATCTTCTAAGAGTCTAGCAAATAGTGGAAGTGTTGGTAATATTGCTAAGTGTAAGTATGGTGTTTATGCTTTATCTACTTATTTTCTTGTGCCAATACAATAAAATTGTTAACAACATTAGCACTTTGTTATAAAGAGAGCTGATAAGCTATGGCTAGGCATAGGTTTATATAGGATGAATCAGAACAGTCACACATTATTAAGCAGCATTACAAGCATGGTTCCATTTATTCACCTAAGTGAAATAAAAATAGAGACCCCCCCACTCGTTACAATATTGACCTCCCGTGATTCAGCAAATTCTCTGGTTCAGCACTCGTCTAGTCCAGCACCCTTGGGACCTGAAAGATTCAACCTATACAACAAAGAACAGCTTCACCAGGAAAAAACTGAGGGCCATCCTAAACTGTTCTGGGATTAGCCTGGTGCTTTGGGTATTTACCTGGGACAAAGGACAGGAAAGACTGAGCAGAATTGAGAGCACAGCTGCTGGCTACTCCCTAGGGCTGGCAGAGGAGCATACAGCCCATCCACCAGTTGCTCCCCATGGCCAGCGCACAGCAGGGGATGGGGCACAGTCCACCTGGAAGCTGCAACCTGGAGCATACTGGAGCATGGGGGCCTTGCTGCTGGCCAATGGCTGCTCCCAGGGTCTGGAATACTTTCTGCTCCTGTGATCATTCTGGGTTATAACTGTCCCTTGTTCTTGCTGTCCCCAATGTGGCCATTCATGCGTATAACTGTCCCTGCTATCACACCCCTCCCTTACCATTGGATGGGAAACAATCACATTCCATGCATATTCCATTGTCCTGCCAAAACCCTGACCTTGCATTAAGCTATAAGAGGAAGCTGCATACAAAATTTGGTGGTCCTAGCTCTTACTGTTTAGGAGTTCTTTAACAAATGGACTCACAGATGCACAAACTCTTTCAAATATCTTACTATATATTTTAGAAATGTGCATCTGTTTGTCTTGGTTGTGCTAAGATAATGGGATGTGCCTGGAATTCGATTGTTTCTAATAAAATGAAAAGGAAAGGAGTCTGGTTGGAGGGAGGTAAGCTTTAGAGTTGGGGGAGCAGCAAGGGACCAGCGATGGGGACCAGGTCAGCTATAACTCCATTGGGTAAGCAGGGGACAGGAGTGGAGAAAGGATAGCTATCTACTATATATTTCAGAGAGTTTGTCTTTCCCTCCACCTGCGGGACATGCACCCTCTCCCTTGTCTGTGCCTGCTGGAGGTGCAGCGGCCATGGACAGGTGCCTCTCTCATGGCTCCAGGCTGCTGCAGTAGGAGAGGGCTGGAGTTTTCCCCTCTCTCTGGAGCAGCCTGCATACTGAACCCTTCATCTCTAGTCCCACCCCAGAACTATGATTCTATATATTTTTGTTTGTCTCTTTTTTTAAAAGTTATTTGTGTTAAGGATCCAAGCAACACCAGGTAAACTTTCTAGTGTAGCAGATAAAATAAAAGGAAGCTATTGAGAAGAGATGGGCCCAAACCAAATACTCCTATCTGAACATTTCCAAAATTCAGGGAAGTGTAGGGTTGTTAGGTGACCGGTTTTGAACCGGACACTCTAGTATTTGAACTTTCTGTTCGGGAAACAAATTAAGAAAATATAAATGAGAAAATATAAATGTCTGGTATTTTCTAAATAAGATGTAATGTAGATTGTGATGTAATGTCAAGTGTGTCCGGTATTTTTGTTGAAACTGTCTGGCAACCCTACAGGGAAGTTCAGAGTAGAAGGTAGAGCCAACATTCTGATTGCCCATTATCTTTAAATACAAACCCCAGGTCCTCTAAAATTTAAGAAAGTTCAGATACAAGTTTTGTGGTTTGGGCCACTCTCTATGACTAATGAATTAAGCCTACAGTTAGAGCCCTGAAAATCAATGCAGAAATATGTCAGATTCTGGGATCTTCCCAATGAGACCTTTGTAAATCAGGACATTTTTGTCTATCCTGTCTTCCAGGAAATGACAACTCAACATATGCTTTCAATTTTTGAGCTTAAAGTCATATTTTTTTGTTCTGTAAGTCACGTAGAAGAAAATTTTGAGGAATCCTTTATATAAAGGATAGCAATAGAAAAAAGAAAGTAGAACTATGGAAAAAAGTAGTTCACACATAGAAGACAGGTTTATCTTGGCTCAGCATAGCAGCATATAAACTTTCTTATGTTGGTAACTTCAGAGTAGAATACAAGAGACAGGAAGTTAATAATTTTTGGCATTGAGATATAGTTGTAGTTTAAGTGCATTCTTTTAGCGTATTAAAATCAGAGAGAACAAATTAGAACAGTAGAGAGTTTTTAGAGGGATAAAAGTTAATAGTTATTTATCTGCCTACAAAACTTGCCGCTCTTAACATCTATGTGTATTTGTAAGGCATTTGTATTGTATAGTTCTAAGAGCCAGGCTGTTAAGGTCACATTTCTGAAAATGTAATAAAAATAGGGTCTTTAGATTTTTATTTAAAGTGTATTTGTGTTTCTCTTTGCACTATGAAGATACAAGCATATGAAGTGATATCCTGGTCCCATTGAAGTCAATGGCAAAACTTACATTGATTTCATAGGACGTGGATTAAACCAATAGTTGTGTATATATCCAAATATAAACTTTTAAGAAAAGAGGTAGTAAAGAACAGAAATTGATTTATAATGCAATTTCCTTTCCCTCATAAACCTTTCAGTGGTTTACTATATTTTCTGCGATTCTGCTTTTGAAGTTGTATCTTTTGGGTATATTTATTTGACATAATTTTCAAGGCCTATCCACATTATTTTTGTTTTCTAAATGAGTAACAGTTTATAAGAAACCATTTTCAGAAATATGTGCCTTCCTGTAGTTACACTAATAATAAATAAAGCTGGTTACATAAATACAAATGGTGTTAACTCTAAAAATAAAGCCATCTGAAAATAATTTGAATAATTAGAAGGAGAAGGCTTGCCAGCTCTTGAGTAACCAAGCACTTTTTTGATGGTTCTTTTTGTTTGAGGGAGGAAAAACATACTAAGTGTCTGTGTCATTTGAAATGTGTCAGGTAATAAGTTACATCCCAGTGTATGAAAGCTAAGGACACATGTCATACAATATTAAATTATGAAACAAGGCATTATTTGGCATGTCATACTATAACATGTAACTGTTTCTGTTTCCATCACATTAAAAATAAACATAGCAATCAAAAACCATAATTTTTAAAAGATTATAGAACACCACACCTTGTAATCATTTGTAGTTTGAGATTGTATTTGTCATTCTACCTGCATAACTAAATGCAAATGAAAACAGTTTAGGCCAGCCAAAAGCTACGCTATCAGTTAATACGCATGGTTTCCTTTTACATATTTAGCAGTACTTTTTTTTTTAATAAAGATTCTGGTCAGCTGGAACAGCAACTGGAGGAGGCCAGTTCTGCAAGGCGAGAACTAGATGATGCTTCCAGGCAAATCAAGGCTTTTGAGAAACAAATTAGAGCACTGAAGCAAGAGAAAGAAGATCTTAATAAGGTACAAAATGCTTTGTTAGACACCTGTCTAGAAAATAAGCCGGTTGTACTTTTGTTATATTTCTCTTAAAATAAGAGATGTCTTAACATCTCATTTGCAGAGTAAAATTAATTAGAAGGTGATACAAATGTATCCATCATGTACATTCCCACTACTTAAGCATCATGCATACTGTCATACGAGTGGTCCTAGCAAATTGATTCCAGATCTTAAACAGATCCATGAAGTGAACTGTATATTGGCTACACAGAAGGCCTTTCTTGGCCTTGGATTAAGGTGATAATTAGAACTGCTAGTAGGCAAACCATAGATGACTGGCTACAGGGTAAGGATTTAATCTGAAATCTGGTGAGTATAGTGGGAAATGTTGCGCTAGCTATTCAAGAAACATTGGCTTTGTGGCACATAGACACTTGCAGAGGAGGAAGAAAGAAGATCTGCAAATCTGAGGATTTAAGAAATAATTTGGGAAGAGAAAAAAAATCAATATTTGTCACGATTGCCATTTCTCTTCTTCCCCTTATTTTTCTATATCTGCTTTGGAGGTTGCAATCCTCTCTTTAGTATGCAAATCTTGCTATCATAAATACATGGCTTTTTACAATGATCTCTGCATGGGGCTATACTTTAAATCAACTTGGAAACAGGATGTCATGCAGAATATGCAAATGTGCTTAAAAAAGGTCTCTCATTAATACATTAAATTAGTGCTCTGTATTCTGCTTTGGGTGCTAATTTATTAAGTGAAGTTAAAGATGTTGGTTTTGACTTAAAAAGCCCTCAGTGCATTGAGATCTACGTATCTCCCAGAGAGACCAGCTCTCTCTCTTCATGATAATACTGGGTATTAAAGCTTCTTTAACATGCTAGAAAAATTGGAAAATGCTCTTGACTCTGTGTAGCCAGCAAAGTTACAAAATATTTTACCCTCTAGCCTCTGTTGAATGCATAATCATTTACTGGTGTCTTCTGATGATAATTGAATCCTTCCCAAACCTACATTCATGGGAGTTATAATGGCTGTCTTGAGGTTGACTTCCAAAGGGTTTGTTTTCATTCACTTGTAAAATTAAAAATGCAGTGTTGGTATAGGTTGAAGCAATTCCACTGACTTCACTTGATCATAATCTGGCCCCATTACCTTTACAAAGAGTTTTCATTGTAAGCACCTGGACTGTCATATTGCTACCAGTTTGCTATCCTTGGATGTGTGTATGTGGGTCCCATTCAGTTCACTGAAAACCCTCACTCACACATCCAAAGGCAGAATTTGGCTTTATAGGTTTGTTACTTTTTTTAACTGTAGGAACTGATGGAATCTAGTGAACGATTAAAATCTCAAACCAAAGAGCTAAAAGATGCACACAGTCAGCGGAAACTGGCTATGCAGGAGTTCTCAGAGATGAATGAGCGGCTGACAGACTTGCACTCCCAAAAACAGAAACTTACCCGTCAGGTCCGAGATAAAGAGGAAGAGATGGACATGGTGATGCAGAAGGTGGAAATATTAAGGCAAGAGTTGCGCAGAACAGAAAGACTCAAAAAAGAAGTAAGTAGTCAACAGGAGTTTGTAGAATCCTCATGATGGTAACTATCTGTGGAAAATTTTCATACAAATAAGGCATGCTTATTTCACTGCTTTTTTAAAATATATTCAAGTCATATTCTGTAAATCTTTAACTCTTTATTCATTGATTGTCATTGATATAAAAAATCCAATATCTCTTTAGGGATTTGAATTTTTCATTCTAATACCGAATATTCAGTTCTTATACCAAAAAATATAGCTTTTTTGGGAAAAAACAAGTATTTGTTACCCTTTTTTGTAGCTGGAAGTCCATGCTGAAGCTGCAGCTGCTGAGGCATCCAAGGACAGGAAATTGCGCGAGCGAAGTGAGCAGTACTCTAAACAGCTGGAGCGTGAACTGGAAGGACTAAAGGTTAAGTTTCTTTTGGTTCAATACCTTTAAAGTTAATAGCCAGCTTGGATTTGAGCAGTAAAATTTCTTTCAGATACAGGACAAGAGGAGAGTATGAATTTGTGACCTCATTCTATATTGTACTTGTATCTATGAAAGGCTATGTGAAAAACATCCCACAATTGCAAATTATTAACCAGTGCCAACTTTTCATGCTAAATGTTAGCTGTGTTTCAAGGAGGTCTCTATCATAGTGACATCTTGATTTTCTATATTTATTCCTGGTTAGTGACTTCCATAACAGTTGGCTCACTTTACAAGTCAAAAGAAGTGTTTTGTAATGTTTGAATGGGTTTTTTGGCATGAATGAATAGTTGCTTAAAAACTTAATCAGCACATTCAGATATCGATGGAAGTGTTTTTAAACATTGCTTTATGATTGCATATTTCAGTAATAGAACCAAATATCTAATAACTGTTACTATCTGATGTTCCTCTAAAGGAATTTTTTTACTGTATTCTTACATAGCTCAGCCAAGCATGAATATATAGGTCTCAATTTTGCAAATTCATAAATGAGAGAGTAACTTTATATGTTTAAATAGTCCCATTGACATCAAAATGTTATCTCATGGTTTGGGGTTGTGTAACATGCTCTGTAGAGGTTCTACTTTCTGAAGATATATGCCTCAGAGTTGATGAATAGGAACAAATTGGTTTTCTGGTGTCCATGTAAAGGTAAGTGTGCATTTAGCAAAAAACGTGTTTTGTCAGAAAAGGTAATTAACCCCTAGACCTTGTTAGGGTGGATGTGGTGGAGTCCATCACTTTAACTCTGCAAATCAAGACAGCTCATCTTCCCAAGACACATGCTGCACTTCTCTGAAATTATGGGCTGTATACAAGAACTGATGGTTGAAATTCAATGGCCTGTGTTGGGGAGATCAGAATAAATAATCATAAAGGTCTTTTTTGGACTTAAAATTCTATGAATAATAGTTTTTGCCATTGATTTCTGTGGGACACTATTTAGAAACTTTTTTGCACATATCTATAGTAGGGTTACCAACTTTCTAATCGACCAAATCAAACATGCCCTTGCCCTGCCCCTTCCTGAGATCCTGCCCCATCCCTTCTCTGAGACCCCACTCGCACTCTATCTCCCTTCCTCTGTCACTTGCGGTTGTCAATCCTCACTCACTTTCACCAAGTAGAGCTGAAGGTTGGGGCATGGGATAGGGTGAGGGGTTCTGGAGTGGGGCCTAAGGTGAAGAGTTTGGGGGCACAGGAGGCTGCTCTAAGCTTAGGGATGGGGCTTGAAGGGCTCAGAGGATGCTTTGGACTGAGTCAAGGGGCTGGAGCACAGGAGGGATATGGGCTGTGGGGTAGGGCCAGAAATGAGGGGCTCAGGATATGGGAGAGACAAGGGTTGGAGTGTGGTGGGAGAGGAAAGGGCTCCAGCCATGGGTGCTATGGCCAGAGACAAGGGGTTTGGGTGTAGGAGAGGGCTCAGGTTTGTGACCAAGGGGTTTGGAGTGCAAGAGGGGGATTCTGACCATGAGTTAGAGGGTTAGGGTATGGGGGAGATGTGGCCTCTAAGTAGCACTGCATCAGTCTCACCTCTGTGGCTCCCATTGGCTGTGGTTCCTAGCCAATTTCAGTTATGAAGCCAGTGCTTGGGGCAGAGGCAGTATGCAGAGCCCTCTGGCAGTGCCTCATCCTAGAGCTGCAGGGACATGTCACTGCTTCAGGGGAGCCACAGACCTAGGTAGGGAGTGTTTCAGTCCTGTACCAATTGGACTCTTAATGTCCGGGTCAGTGGTGCTGATCAGAGCCACCAGGATCACTTTTCAACTGGGTTTTCTGGTCGAAAACTAGACACCCAGCAACCCCATTCTACAGTAGTACCTCAGAGTTAAGAGTGCCATAGTTACAACTGACCAATCACCCTCCTCATTTAGAACCAGAAGTATGCAATCAGCAGTAGCAGAGACCAACAACAGCAACAAAAAGAAAATACAGTACAGTACTGTGTTAGTGTAAACTGCTAAAAATAAGAGGTGAAAACACATTTTTCTTCCTCATAGAAGAAAGTTTTAAAGCTGTATTAAGTCAATATTCATCTGTAAACTTTTGAAATAACAACCATATCGTTTTGTTCAGACTTTCGAACATTTCGGAGTTATGAACAACCTCTATTCTGGAGGTGTTTGTCACTCTGAGGTTCTACAGTATTTATTTTGTCTTCTTCCTAAGTAAAATATACAGTGTAGGCCTTAAGAGAATCAGTCTCTCCCAAACATAGGGTACATAAAGCTGCCAGTGCTGCAAATCCAGCCTGCCAGCTGGAAATAAAGCTGTTCCTTCTGCTTCATATATCTTCATCTCAACAATAAAGAGTCTGGCATCAGAATTGAGATGGCAATTGTGGATAATGAATGAGGCAGAATAGGACATAGTTTACTCTTTAACACCTCTATGGGTTCTGTAGTGCTGACAGTAATGAAAACTCATTTATGTTAGTAAACTAGAAGATAATGACTTGGATGACAAGTAGAGAGAAGATACATGCAGAAATGGCTTCCCATTTTAATGGGTTACCATTTTAATTGCTTTGTAATCTTAACCCGACTTCAATGTTGAAAATAGTAGATACTTAAGTAATTTAAATATAATAAAACAAAACTGTATTTTCAACAAAGGGTAAATGTAATTTTCTCTAAATAATATTCGAGAAGCATTTTTCATTTTCCAAATTATTTCATTGCATTGCTACTATTACCAGTGTATTTCTATAGACATGAGGTCTTCGGTTTCTTGTTTATTGCAGTAGACTTCAATGCAAATACCTAGTTCTGTCTTTTTGAGCAAACATAAAATAATATTGTTGAATAATTTTCATTGGTTTTGTACGCTAAAGTAAAGCCAATAGAATTTCAAACTAGATCTGTTATCTCAAGCTACTTTTCTGGGATGAAGAGGTGAAGGGACAAGTTAAGTGAACAGGAGGGTGTTGTGGTAGAGTCTGAATTGGGAGACCAGACCTTTTGGAGAGTGACATTGTAAATAGATGTAACGTGTGTTAACTATTTAGACTGAATTTAAACTGAAATTCCCAGCTCCATGCCCCTTTTGTTGCCTACTTAAAAACCAACAATAGGTTTTTAAATTAAGAATAATAATAATCATAATATAAACAAAAATTCTATGGATAATATGTATAGCTATTCAACTTAAATGTATATATTTCATCTTCCTTATAAAGTTGCATCAGCCAGTCAGCCTTTTATAACCACAAAACCTGTAAGTCACTTGTTTAAAACCTAGCATATCACAAGTTTGGATTCCTGACATAAGTTTGGTCAGTTTCTTGATTTTTTTTCGCATCGAGGTGAGGATGATGAATAATATCCAAAGGGAGATACATGCCCTGAAACAAACCAAGCAAACTGTAGCAGTGTCACTAAAGGCTAATCTCTCCAAAGCCGAGCAGAACATCTTCTGAGATTATCTGTATTAAACACAGCCTTTAAAAATAAAGGAAAGAGGCCCTGACATAAAGTGGCCATCTTTACTGCTTTGCCACTGCACCTTACTACATTGCTGTAGTTTTTGTGATACTCCCTATGTTTAAGTGCAAACTCAATGCATTCTTAACTATGGAATTGCAATCTGAGCCGTCGCAGTGTACTTATGTTTGAATACGTTTTGTAATATTGCTAATAATATTGATAACATTTTGAAATAGTTGGCTTCAGACGTATTGATGGAATTGGGAAGTGCTTATTTGCTTTAGTTGAGAGATGGACACCTGTTCCAAATTCTCAAACATGACCTCTAAACATCTATGTGCAAATAGGTATATTGTTCAAATGGATTCGAGTTACACCGTTTGTACACTCAAATATGTGTGTATGAAAATAGTTACAGATTTACTGCTCCAAGTTCAGGCCAGATCAAAATGTATTTGCTTATTTCACTGCTCAGCTGTTGTTTAATAGTAAGCTGTTGAAAAATATGTAATTGCTCACGTTTCACTTTTGTCTTTCACAACACCATCTGAGCTCTGGGATAGTGTTGCTTTGGCACCCTGGTTATTCCTGAATTTACAGTAGAATTTTTTCATGTGCCTAGTACATGAGGTTGCCTTGGAGGAGCATTTTACCTAATGTATCTGCTCCGTATGGGCTGCATTTAAGTAAAACTAGCACTTTAGGCAGCATCAACACAGTTAAATGGTTACTGACTTGTGTCTGTCATCATGTCTCCACACTTTCTTCTGAATCAGAGTGCTCTGAGCCAAATTTAAGCAGCACCACTTTCACATTCCCAGACAAGCTTCATTTATTAAGGGCAAGATTTCACTAATATGGCTCATCTACACAAGGACATCTAGAAACGTTACTGTAAAACAAAAGTGAAAATTTGACAAATGAATAAGTACTGCAAAACTAAATTAAGGTCACTTTAATTCTAAGTAAGAATGATTAAATAGAGGTTTAACGAATCCACTTTAAATTCACTTATCTTATGAATTCAGATTCTTTCCTGAGTGTTAGCAAGTGTCTGAAACATCAACATAAGTAATTTTTGGTTTCCTGTGGCTGAATTAGATAAAATCTTGTGATGCTATAAACTAAAACTACATATCTCATGGATTCTGCATTCCTATGTTGACACTAATTACATGTAGTGTTCCTTCTAACTTTTCATGTCCATGTGTGGAATGAATTTTATGTGTACCAATATGGAAATGATGTGCAATGCATCGCCTCCAAATGGGTGCACGTTGCAAAATTCATTCTGTACATGGACAATTTAAGGTGAGGATGTTTGGAGTGAGTCGAGTGGTTCGGAGTGTAGGAGGGGGCTCGTGGTTGGGGGTTGAAGGGTTCTGGCTGCAGACTCTGGGGCAGGATTAGGGATTGAGGGGATTTGGTTATGGAAGGGGGCTCAGACATGGGGCAAAGGTTGGAATGAAGGGTGAAGGCTGTGGCTTCGATTTAAGGATCTGGGATGGGACTAGGGATAAAGGGCTTTGGGTTGAAGATGAGTTGGGCTGGGGAAGAGGCATCTCTCTCTCTCCCAGCTACAGGAAGTCTGTGCTGCTGTGGACAGTGGCAGTAAGACTTTGAAAAGGGGCTTCTCAGGCTCAGCACAGAACTGCCACAGCTGTAGGAGAGGTACATTCCTCTGGCCCCAGCAGCTCTGTGCATGGCAGTGCTGAGACCCTGCGTGGAACTTAGTAGACAGTTGTGTGGCCACAGATCTTAGAGGGAATCCTGGTTGCAAGGCATATTTTTTTTCTTGAGGAGTGTCTAGCAGTCTTTATAGTCAAATAATCAGATCTTTTTTGAGCCATATGCACAATCTGTTTAAGCATTAGCATAAGTAAAGGTACAAAAGACAAACTGATTGATGCTAATAGTATATGATTGAAAGTGTGGTTATAACCAGCTACCCAAACGCCTCGGATGCATTAAAAGGCAAAAAATCAATTTCAGTCATCCGAAAGAACAGATCTCTAGATTTCACTTCCTGATGCACAGCGTTGCTTTAGTGAATGTTCTTTCTTTTATAATATAAGAAACAACGTTTTCAGGGTGAGTTTACAAAGAGAATTAGTATATATTTTTTAAAAGTATTCTTCTGTTACAAATTATTTTTGAGTTTTAAAACTAAAATAGCTTAAAAGATTATTAGTAGTGTCCAATAATGTCAAACAAATGGGCTACATCTGATTTTGAGCCTGATCTTGCTGCCACACTAATCAATGGCAAAACTTGCATTGCCTTCAGTGGGTGCAAGATTAATCTCTCGTATTCAGAACTAAGTTAAACAATATTTAAGGAGCATTCAAGTAGCAGAAAAACTTGCCAAATGTCTCTGCAACACTCAAACTGACATAAAATGAAGTTGTTCTGCTGTCTAGCTTTTATGCTGTGATATAATTGATAAATTAAGTATGATGGGCCATGTTCTGTTGGCTTTTTTTTTTCTGTTCCTGGCTCAAGGGTACAAAATGATGAAATCAAAATTGTACTTGGCATCAGCACTTAAGCCAGCACTGGAATTTCTGCAGTGCTTCCACAAATTGCTCATTGCAGGAATTCAAGCAAGAGTGTGTATGTGCAGGGATGCAGAGGAGGACATGCTAAAGTATGTGGACCCTGGACCCTCTCTTCCCCATTCCATAATGTCACTGGAATGGATGCTCTAGATATCTGAACTCAAAAAAATTAGGGGGAACCAGGACTTGAGTGTAAAAATTAAACCCTGTGATCTTTTTCTGACTGCATATATATGAATGCTAGAAAGTGGCCTGTTACATTTAAAATGGCAGTATAACCACATTATACAAGCATCTGAAAAATATGCTCTATTTAAAGACTAGCTCTCTGGTAAGGAGAGGCATATCAGTCCTAACCCTAACACTGACTTTTAAGCAGTTGAGATAAATAATAAATATTTAACTGTAGTTTATTGTGTAAATTATACTCTCACAGTATTCCTTGTATAAACATTGGCTTGTGTATGTCAAGATTGTGTTGTTATTAAGCATGTTTCAGTCGTCTGCAGTGCAAAAAAACTAATTTTGAGATGTTCCTTTTATAGCAAAAGCAAGTTGGTCGCTCCCCAGGAGTGAGCAGCACAGAACATCAGCAAGAGATCACTAAATTAAAGGCCGAGCTGGAAAAGAAGAGTGTTTTTTATGAAGAGGAACTATCCAAACGAGAAATAATGCATGCTAATGAAATCAAAACCCTGAAGAAAGAACTGCGGGATGCAGAGAGCCAACAGCTTGCCCTCAAGAAAGAGATCATGATCTTGAAAGATAAGTTAGAAAAGACCAGGAGAGAGAGGTAAGTGTACCCCCACAGCTCACCAGTAAACTCTATACATTTAAAGACCACACCATCACACCAAGAGTCTGCAATCAGAGACATATTCAGGGCCAGCCCACAACATTTTGGCACCTGAGGCAGGGAGCTCAAAAGATGCCCCCATGTCCTCTCGCTTGGACCAAAACTTTCAAAGGTCTCAATACTGCCTTCTTCCTGTTCTACTCCTCTCATGGTACTGCAGAGAGAATACATATGTACCAGCAGCAGACACAATTTTCTACACTCTGGGTCCTAGGGGCACGCCCCAGGCCAGCCCTGGACATATTGATAGATCTGGTGTCATAACTGAAAAGTAAACAAATTGAAATCTGTTTACAAGCCATCGTCAAAAATGTATATTATGAAGTAGAACAGTTATGGTTCCTTTTGTCAAATTCTGCACCGGCTTACTACTTGTCTTGAAGTAACTAGAGTTGCAGGGTTGTAAATTAAGGGAGAAAGTGCCCCATTGTGTCTTAAATTGTAGATTAAATAATTTTTTAATTATTTTAATTCATTTGTTAATTTTGTAACTTAAACAGGCGTTTTCCCTGTTTGATATTTTCATTTTTTTATTGAACAAATAATATGCTGGAGATCAACTAGTGCTTACACTTTAGGTCCAGGAACTATAGTTTAAGGTAGGCAGAGGATGATCTGCACTGACTTTATTTAGTGCTAACTATCTACACAACCCTCTTCATGTATACTGAAAGAGGGTATGTCTACACTACCCTCCTAGTTCGAACTAGGAGGGTAATGTATGCATACCGCACTTGCTAATGAAGCCCGGGATTTGAATTTCCCGGGCTTCATTAGCATAAGCGGGGAGCCGC